CATCACTGTCACTGCTTATAAAGAATTTTTATTTCTACTCCTGTCCTTAGGCCATGTTGTCATGGTTCTCCTGCAGTGCCTTGTCCTCATGTAGATGGCACATAAGGAATAATAAAGATTAGATTCAGTATGTTGACATAGGAATATTTTGTTGTAATGCTAAGGTTGCTACATTGAAAGAGACAGAGAGTCTCTCCTCAGTTACGACAAACACCGTGAGTCAAGAAATTGACAGAAAAATAAGTAGTAAAGATTCTACATCCACGATAAAGATCTAGCGAAAAATTTCAATATGTGAGAACAGTAGGTTACAAGTTTCAACTCCCAAACTCTCTCCCTCTCAATCTCTTTCTGCCGCTATAAATATTCTTTCAATACACACTCCAAATCCTAAACGCCCCTTCTAAAAGAGTTCTAGAACAGAGTTCAGCAACAACAAAAAAGAAAGGGTTCAACAAATTGGAATGTGTGTTTTGTAGTTGCTTTGCCTCACAGTACTGGTTTGATTATCAACTTCTACCCTCTTTTCCTTTTTTTATTCCCCTTTTCTTTTCTAGGTGAAAGCTTAGAGAAATGAACAATAAAATAAAATAAAAACCATAAACTATACTGAAAAAATATATACACACTTGTTTATCTTTCACATGTATAGACTTTGGCTTCCCAAAAAAAACCATTTCAAGAAATTGTATACTCCTGCACCTACCCTTATCTGCACACAAGGTGGACTAAACCAATTAAAGTATTTGTTTCTCTATATACATCAATACTATCCCAATAATGAAACTTATTATAAAGATTACAAATTTCGTGGCATTATTAGATTGAAGTCAATTCTATCATAGAGTACCTCATTTATGTCTGGTCGAGCCACTGTTTCTTGATTGAGTAATTTGATTCTCAGCAAACTTTTTTTAAAATATAATACAGTAATATCTTTCTGTCTGATTTTTAAGAACTTGTTAGTTGAAAATTTTTAAATAAAATTTTTTCCAATTCTAATTTTAAGGTGCTCATTCAATACTTTATTCCAAGTTAATTTTGTTGTGCAGAAGAATGAGAATGACAGTTTATTGGCACAATCTAAAATAGGACATTTTAGATAGTTTCTACTAAAAATAAAATTCAAGGAAATTCTCTCTGTAATGATCACAAAGAAGCTTTGCATACTTAGGTCAATATATGATAGTAATTGCAAACTTTTTTTATTTTTTCATTTATAGGTAGGACACTCATACAGTCCCAAAAATAATAATAATAATAAATAAATAGTATAAAAATTAACTAATTGACAATGCACTTATAAATGGAGAAAAGTTACAACTTTCAAGACATGTAGAGAGATGAAAAGAAATTGTTTACATTGTCAACTTAATGGGAAAGAAAATATATCAGGTGGCAAAATAGGCCCAACAGATAAAAATCTTAGGCCCAACGGCCCATGGTGAGGTCTACTAGAAGAGGAATGCTTAATGATTTTAATATTTTTTTTTATTTAAATTTTGCGAGGTCTACTACTGGAAGAGAAAGTGTATAGCTTTTTTTAAACTTCTCAAGAAAGGAGGATAACTTAATGATTTTAATTATTTTTTAATAAATATTGTGAGGTCTACTACAAGAGAAAGTGTATTGGTCTCTTTTGACTTACTTTTAAATATGGAAATTTATATAATTAATTAAAAATCTATATACAGGATGAAAATAACAAGAAAGTCTTGTGAGGAACTTCACTGAACCTCGGTGGCTTGCCACTGTTTTTTAGGCAAACTTTTATCATTTTATTTATGAAATATTGTGCCACAATCGAAAGTGGGGTGTCTTAAACAGAGTGCAACTTAAAAAAAATAAAAAATTAAGGATATAAATTTGTATATATATATATATATATAATTTCTTTTTTTACTTAAATTAAAAAGAGATAAATATCATGTGATGCAAAAGAGAGTAATTATAATTAATATACTTCTAGTAAATCTCTCAAAAAGCTGATAAATCATATCATTAATCATAATTACTTTTTTCTTGCCTTGAAAAAAAAAAAAAAAATCATAATTACTCTCAACTTTTTGATACATTAAATCCTAGGCCCATGGTGAGGCTTAAGGCCCCAAGGCCCAAGCTCTACAATAAGGAAAAAATCCAATTACATTATATCCAACTAGCATGGAAACAACAAACCGACTGATCCAATGAAGGGGTCAAATAAGTATATTTAATGCTCAATTTGTTACCAGATTTAATGAGGAAAAAAAAAAAGGCCGGCTAATCAACCAGAGTGTTGGTAAAATTTTAGTAGACGTCACTAAATGTTTCAACTTATTTCTTGAATTGGGAATGGTTCTTTTTAAGTATGAATGAGTGTGACATATTTGTGGTTTGCATAAAAAAAAAATAATAAATAATAATAATAATAATAAAATAAAATTTTAATTAAAAAAAAAATAGTCATGGCCAGCCTAGACCCACCACAATGAGAGAGGAAAAAATATAAAAAAAAAAAGGTTTAAAGATTAAGGTAGAAAAAGAAGCTTAATGATAAGGGTAGTTTTGTCAATTAACATGGCTGATATTTTGTAAATTAATTGAATTAAATAATTAAGGGCAAATATAACATTTGAAACCATAGGAGGTGTCATTGTTAAAAAAGGCATTGATTCGCATTTGAGTAACATTAACCAAAACCTTAGGGTGTTACTACAATTTATCCAAAAAAAATTAAGATGTAAGAGGATCTCCAGCAGTTTGTTAAAACACTCTTTTGTGTAAAATATACACTGTCACGTATAATGTGTAAATTTTTTTTATTTTTAATCTCAAGTCATCTGTTAAGAGACACTGCTAGGTAATTAATGTGTAAAATTGTTGTGCATTTTACATAACCTTTTTACACAGCCACATTAGCATATTTTATTTCTCATTCCTCTTTCTCATTCCATTAACGAATCAATCTTATATTAAGTAAGTTTGTAAAAAATTATATGGGTCAAGACATAAGACTAATTTGTTATTATTGGGGATATATTTTACACAAAAGGTATAAGTTGGAGCTAAAAATAAATAATTTAAATTTTTTGTGTAAATCTATTATGACATATAAAATATCCACAAAATATATATATATATATACACACACAACTGTTGGAGATGCTCAAAGATGTTGCAACCAATTTTTCTAGCTCTTCGTCGGTCCACTGGACCCTTCATCGATCATGCTATTATTAGTCTCTCTTGCTAGTTTTAAATGTTCGAAGGCTTATCTGCAATGTGTTGCTTTTGAATACAACCTGGAGGCATTAATGGCCCCTTCCTAAATGGTCCTGAACAAGAATTGGTCATCAATGTGATTTTGATATCCAACTCCTATTTGTCCCTTCAAAAACATTCCATTCCATGAACTTATGTCCTTAATTAATGCTTCACACCTAGAGAATTTCTGCAGCGATAATTTCAATAAGATCTCTTATCTTTTATTATTGAAATCACGTGATTGCTCAACTCTCCCTCTCTCTCTCTCTCTCTCTCTCTCTCTATATATATATATATATAGTATGTGTTTGTGTGTGTGAATCTGTCTCCCCTATGCATTTATGACTTATCTGCCTTTATCTTTCTGTTTTCTCCCATTACTAACTATTAATTACCTCCTTGGGATGAATTTTGGATCTCTATAGAATAGAATATAACTTAGTTTTGTGTTCAAATTGTTCCTATTTCTACTAGTCCAATGAAGGTTACAAGTCACAGCAAACTGGTTTTTTGCATAGAAAATTAATTCATGCATCTTTGTAGTTACACAAATACCTCCAAGTGCTTCATTCCATGGCAAATACCAAAAGTGAGGGTCCTATGTTCTTAGTACAGAAACTTAGCTTTTATTAGTGAGCAATTCAGTTGCTGTTTCCGATAAAACCTGCTCGTTTGGGGCATGTATAATGCTCACCAGATTTCCAACCTATATACTGTTTGGTGAATGAGAAAAGTAAACCATTGGGATCCACCTTCTTGTTGTTGTTGGACATTAAGAATTGCATGTGGGCTACCCAACTTGCTCAAGCACATTGTGTGTGACTCTCATCTGTTTTGTCATCTTAGTAGACATTCATAACGGTGTGAAAATGAAATCCCGGGCAGCAAGTTCCTACCCTCCATTGAATCCCACCTAAAGATGAAATCGAACACGTGGTGCCTTCTCACCCTGTCCTTTGCTTCCATTTGTATGAATTAACAAATGGCCTTCATACTCAAAACAATATCTGTTGTCACAGATCATTAGTATAGAAATGTATTTCACAAAAAAATAAAAATAAAAAAATAAAAAAATAAAAACGAACTCCCAACCCCCAAAACATTTGCTCATTTTCATATGTTTGTAGTTGTGGTTGGTTAAAATGAGTTACTCTGCAAATACACTTGCCATGGTTTTGCATAACGTTGAAATACAAGAATTGCAGATCTTTGTATGTGATGTTCTGAAATGTCACTGCAAGATTTGTGTGAGGACAGACAACATGACTAGTAGGGAAAAGTTAAAGATTCACATTGTTTCACTTTCCTCAAGCATGCATCTCCATTTGTAGGGACTTCAGGTTTATAAACAACATGCATGCCAACACACTAACTCAAATGCTTGTAGGCTTTTAAGTCAGGCAAAGGGGGGTTGCCAAAAGCATCTCTAGTTTAAAACCAGACACATAGTCCAAAACATAAATGACCCAAGTTGAGAAGCTTAAAAAATAAAAATAATAAATAAAATAATTGAGAAGCTTTAGAACAATAAGCTTATAGACTAACAAAGAAGTTTGTTGGAAAAGGGTGTCACTCATTCTTGATCTGTTATTGATCTTAATATGGTCCAAATTGCCTCGAAATTCCAGTTTCTCTTTTTTATGTTTTGGGACTGTTCTGCCTTTTAATGACATGGAAGATATGGATATAAAGCTTTTGTTTTGTCACTGAAAGAAGCTACAGACAATACTTATTGGGAAAAAAAAGGAATGGCATACCTATAAGTGAAATTTTATTTTATTACAAGTTAAGTACACAATCACTTGAAAACAATTACTTACTAACCCAAAAAAATAATAATGATAAGTACAAAAATTTCAAGAAGGTTTCTCAAACATTTTCATCCACTTAGGCCAACCCTACCGCTGACACAGATAGTGATTCTCTTCATAGAGTGCTATGGGAAGATTAATTCAAGACAAAGAAAATTTGTTCCATTGAGAATTCAGTATCTTTCCCTTTGTCTTTGTCTCAGCTTGTGACTTCCCAACTCAGATGGGACTTGCCTTACCATTAGCCCTATATGCAGTTTCAGCAACACTTACTGCTTTGTGAGCCCTGCACCCCAACAGTCCACCAGGGAGGTTCTTTTGTGCGTTGCTCGCTATGCTTCTGGTTTTGGCTGCTTTACTGGTTGTGATTGCTCCAGTCATGTCACCAGCATTGATAATATACTTTTCATCATAATCTGATATAACTGAGACATCTGCAACACTAGCTGTGACGACACTCCACTCAATGCTGGCTTCGCTTGGCTCATACAAGGTGGTTGGGGTCATGCAGCCAGACATATTGTCAGATGCTTGCCTTGTTAGCAATGAATACTGTCCGGTGCCTGATATGTTTTCAATCTCAAATAGATCCGAACTGGCATCACTTGCCATATCATCACACACTGCAGTACAACTTCCCACCAAAGTTGTTGGAAGGGTAGGGGCTTTTGGAATGGCATCCCAGGTTAGCATGGACAGTTTCCTCTCAAGATTCACTGCTATGTCACCCTTTTTCGTCGTACTGGAGCCAAACACCTCAAGTGACTTTCGCGCCTCTTCTTCGGTTTTTTTTTCTTCTTCTTCTAACTGCTTTTTAACTGGCAAATTTTCCACCCCGGGATTGAGAATTGGGAACGCAAAATGATCTCCTCTTTTTGATCCATGTTGGGATTGCTTGGATTCGTTTTGCTCAGCACTTTCACTGGTGTGAACAGATTTTTTGTCCATACAAGGTACACTGCAACCAAAACCAAGGAAAAACCTCTTTCCAATTGCCCTCTTTTGCTTCATTTGGGGCGAGGCTTTCGCGAGACTTGGTAAAAGTGCAGCTTGGCTATTCCAGCTTGCTTCAGAAGGAGCACTAGGTGTTCCAGTCCTGAATCTCGGTTTCAGGTGGTGCAGATCATCGCGGTCTTCCTTCTTCTGCCACTGCTTCCTCTCTTTGTTGTCAGTCATTCCTCGAGTCCCATAATCCATTTTCATGTTGAAATACTTGTCAGCACCAAAGATGCTGATTTCACCCTCTTTAGTCTTTGATCTTCCTGAGCTTCTTGGAGTCTCTTCAGGTGAAATGATTGCTGGACTGGATTCCATAATCGCGCCATCAAGCTTAAGCACAAAGTTCTTCTCTTCTGGAGTATTGAGGTAAGCAGAAAACGAGGCAACACGAAGATGGTTAATGCTATCTTCGCCGTCCATGGAGTGTGAGAAAGGTTGGTAATAATTGGAGATTGTTTTACGGTCCTGTGTCTAAGGTTTCAAGGGATGGAAGATGACCTCCAAGACAGAAAGAATGCTACAAAAAAGAGGGATCATTTGAAAGGTTTTGTTTTGGAGAAGGTTGAAGAACTCTATGACAAGCTCATGAAAAAACTTAGATAGCAAGAGCTTGAGAAAGTTGCCAAAAAAATGGTCGGATATAAAATTGGAAAGGTGAAACAAGCTTGAAAAGTTGGGAGAAGATGATGGGATTTATAGGGGAAATTTGAGATCTGAGAAAGGCTTGAAAATCACTTGGGGTGTTGAGAAACAGTCCTATATGTGTGGACTTTTGGGTGGGTGGTACAAGATGGTTAGAAAGTGGAACCTGCATCTGAGGCTTGTTTGACAGTTTTGAGTTTGGCGCATTATTCTCGCAAACATGGATTGCTTATGTAGTTTGTACAATGTCCTATATGCGGTAAAAAAAAGGTGGATCCTACATGGTTGGGACTTTAATTGACACCTTGTCCAACTTATTTCTCTCACGCAAACCATGAAATGCTTTGTGTATAGCTAGTTTTCGTCACAGTATCGCGAAAGATAAAGTCTGAATACACTCATGCTATATTTGGCAACACTTCGATGCCTTGGATTTGGAATTACAAAAAGTTTAGTATAAATTTTGAATTAAACTTCCTCCAATCCCAAATTCAAGGCACCATTTTGGTACTCCCAAATATAACATCAATCCCAAATCATGTGAATCAGAGGAGTCTAAAGAAAATTAAACTTGAAATGCCTAATTCATGAGCCATCAATGTCTCTGCAGTCCTAAGTTTTGTGGGTCATACCAAACATTAAGGCACATAATCACTAAAGTTAATATGAAATTGTGGATATGATTTAATACACTTCCGTACACTTAGTAAATACCTTTTTATGGACAGCATAGAGACAAGTGGAATGCAAGAACAATTTAAGGTCCAGATTCATTCATTTGGGGATGCCTTGAGGAATATTGGGGGTCCAAATCAAAATGAAATTGATGATATTGATATATAATTAAAGTAACAAAATATATTGTGCTTGTAAGGAAGTTCTTCTACCTTTAGCCTATACAAAGCAGTGTCACCCTAGAGCCCAAGTCCAGCACGTCATAGAGTTACAGGCACATATTTTGCGCGCGCAGACATATATGTGTGTATATATGTCTATGCATGCATGAATAGTCACACTACAGGGTGATATTATAAGTTTTGGCAATTTGGAAACCTATCTTAATAATAAATTTATTTTACCATTATAAGGGGAGTTTGAAGTGCCATTGTTGAACCAAGTGTTATAGTTTAGTTGCACTACAAAGTATAGGGTTCAATTCAGCAAAGTAAGTATGTAAATTTTTTTATTCGTAAAAATAAAAATAATTTTATTGTTCATAAGCAATTTCTGATTCATAAACAGTTGCATGAAACATATGAATTAGGCCTTAAAGCTAAAAACATTGTTAATGTTATGGTTCTATAGTTATGTGACTGCATGTAGCTCACAACAAATTATGGTTTTAAATATTTTGGACTCAGCCTACTACTAGAAAACAAGAGAATACAAAAACGTAGACAGCAAAATGACCAAATTAAAGACTGAAAAGAAAATGTACTCAAAACATTAGTGAACTTTATTAAAGTTGCTTTCGGCAAAAAACCTTTATTAAAGCTGGTTTGAAAATAATTGTGCAATTTGAAGCATCCAAATATCCAATTTCAGTCATATATACACGCAAGTTTATACTCAACCAAAAAAAAAAAATTCCCAGTAAAGATTCAACCTAAATGCCGCAAGCACAGTGGAATCATCGAATAGTCAAATCAGTAACCTCCATTTCATGAAAACGTGCTTCTTATAATTAAAACGATTGTTTGTTTGTTTGTTTGTTTTTTTATTATTATTTTTTATATATATATGCTCATATTCATGCCCTCCTATTGGTTACTAAAATACACCTTTTGCAAATAAAATCATGTTGAACTTTTAGAAAATCTCATAAATCAAGGTTTCAGCTTATTTTTTGCACTTTGATGGGAAGCAAGTTTACTAAACAATTGGTATGATCTCTCCTTGCAAAGGGGGGTTGAGTGTTCTAGCCATGTGAGGGCAATAGTGTGGGTGTGTGCACATTTGCTGGAACTTTCAAAAGAATATATATATATATATATATATATATAAAAGTTTACTGAATGAATTAATAAATTGATGCAAAATAGCTATTAGTCGGGAATGAAGCCAATAACTAGTAAACATAATACTACCTCCGTCCCAAAAAAATTCAGCCTAAACAACCTGGAACTTCTTTTTGATATTCATTACAATCAATTTATATTACTATTTGAAGACAGGTTTCTTCTACAAGGACAAGAGTCAGCAGAATCCCATCCTCAATCTCTTCTTTAAAAGATCCAACTCTATCAAATATTCTCTCTATATTTCCTACTTGAAAAAAAAAACATTTTGAATGCACCCTAATCAAACTTTTTCTTGAAGGAACAAGACAGAAAAGGGTCGGAGCAAACAGCAAAATATAAACTTGATTTGTGTAAAATGAAGAGAGAGTATATAAATCTGAGTCAAGTCTCTCATAAAATAAAAGGAGAAACTAGAATTAATGAAGGAAGCTCAAAATCTGTTTACATATTGTGGGAGCACATACTAAAGCTCAAAAAACAAGAAAGAAAAAGAACTGTTGAAAAAGAAAAGGTGAATACAAATCAGATCCAAGAGAAACTAACTATTAAGACTTTCTCACATCCAGTTGCTAATTTCTCAGTGCCCATAACAGAAATAAATAAATTCTTTGGACTTACAACAGTTAGAGCTGCGTTTCCTATTGAATCATGCCAAAACTTCACATTTCTGTTAGCCATTCATCAGGAAGACGTGGAGTTGTTTTCACCTGCAACCCAGTATTGTTTCACAACAAACAATATCTTCTCAGGGACAAGAGGGCCATCCTCGTGATCGACCATTTTTGTGTCCCACCTCATACCAGCCACAATTCGCTTCACCTTGATCAGCACATCCACTTGCTCACGGATTATAACAGTACCTTCTGGTCTTAGAATCCGATCCATCTCTAAGAGAATGTCCTCTGCATTACACCTGAATAATGCATAGATCACAAGAAATAAATAAAAAAAATAAAAAATAGCTTTGGGCCTGTGAAGCATCTATACAAGTAGTATAATTGAGAAGATATAATCCATCTGGAACTCCACACTTCAGATCAGTTGGAACTTATTGTTAGGCCTTCCTCGGCCTAAAGCTTATTCCCCTTGAATAGTGCATCTGATCTAAACTAAGCCACTTTTGTCGCACATGTGGTTTGCATCATGTGTTTTTTATCTAATAGGTTGGCGAGACAGACTATCGTCCAGATTGTTCACGTTGATGGTATCTAACCTTCTGTGTTTCTTCCCGTATATCAAATTTGATGATTGAATTTGCAAGCATGCATCTAATGAATTAACTAAACCCTTGTCAAAGGTCCCCAGCCTTCAACAGAACAAAGTATGACATTTAATAAAAAAAAGTAAAAATAAAAAACTTACTTGTCCTTGTACAAGCTGAAAACACCATTAGCATGAATAAGGTCATAAGTCCTTGGATATGTGGAGAAGGCTTCACACCTAAACAGGAAGCAAAAACATATGAGGGGAAAAAAAAAAAAAAGACCAGTGGATCCAAGTTAAGCATCAACTTGGCATAAACAGTTCTTTTTTTTTTTCGCTGGTAAATAACGAAACATAAACAGTTGTTAGCTCTTTCTTCTTCCTTTTTCTCTCTTTTATTTTGTTAGATTAATTCTATCTAGCAGAGGATGAATTTCAACTACTAACAGAAAAGCAGCATTCGAGATCCTATTACTATTAGAGCATTCTTGTAAAATTATGGCATGTTTAAACTTTATTGAGATATATTGCAATATTAACATAAAATATGCAACAATTCATACAAGGGAAGGAAATAAACTCTTTCTCGCGTTATTCAAGTCCTAGCCATCCGGTCACAGATGTAAGCAAATGATGGTGCAAATCCTTTTGACAAGGTTTTCAATAAAAGAAGAAGAGAGCAAGCCAGCTCAACTGTCAAACACAGTTGCAGCATTGGAGATCATACCATGGGCCTAGATTTAATCAGCGGTAAACAATTTATAACAAGAAAACAAGAAAGAGATTATTATGGTTCCCCACTCTCTCCTAAAATGTTCTCTCTTTTTTTTTTCCTGTGTTTTGGTTAAAGGCATATACTTGCCTATTTTTAGGCTAAAGACCAGATACGTACAGTGAAAAAAATTGAGAACTGAAGAAGGGGGGGAGACAGATAACTAAATGTTCCTCAAACATGACTCCACGAATATACAAACCACCCAGCCCGCATCTGAACTATAAGTCTAATTACTGTCTCCAACTTGCATTTGGTACTGATTTATTGCAATCCTAGCTGCAGAAACAATATTTTTATTGACTTTGTTGGTAGTGTTCGAAAGAAAAATTGCCAAGAGTACGTTTGAGACACCATTAAAATAATAGTATATGAACTCTGCTATGATACCAAATTCTAAGGACAGTACAACTATCATCATGGTTTTGTGCTTCTCATTGGTCACCACTCCTATTCACAGACATTTTAAACAATGCTTTTCAAACAATTCATGGTAAGATGTCACTGTGAAAGCATAAGTTCTAGAGCACTGAAGCTTGCTTTCCCATTATTCTTGTTTCTTCTTCCCCAAATCAGTCAACTAGCTCCTCATTCTGAAGCACTCCCACTTCAAATCTTTCCCCATTTGGAGCAATCTAACAATTCATTTTTTGGTAACACAACTATCATCATGGTTTTGTGCTTCTCATTGGTCACCATTCCTATTCACAGACATTTTAAACAATGTTTTTCAAACAATTCATAGTAAGATGGCACTGTGAAAGCATAAGTTGTAGAGCACTGAGGCTTGCTTTCCCATGATTCTTGTTTCTTCTTCCCCAAATCAGTCAACTAGCTCCTCATTCTGAAGCACTCCCACTTCAAATCTTTCCCCATTTGGAGCAATCTAACAATTCATTTTTTGGTAATACTGCTCATAAACAGCAAGACACATCATATTTCTAATAAATAGCAAGACACCAGAATTAGACATTTTCTTGTAACATTGATAATAAACTGTAACACACCAGAAATATGATGTTATAAAGTAGTGGCTGATCCATTTCCCCTGTTGTCTATGGAGCAATTATTAACTGGGTTGTTGTTAAATCTTACTTTGGTCCTACTAATTCTAGAATTTTCATCTCATGGTCTTTCTTGATCTCTAAATCCGCCTGTGTTCTTTACACAGCCGGTCCCAAAAGGATGGGGGTTGCGTCAGTGATGGAGATCAATGGTACCAATCTTTAAAGGTGTATAAAAGGTGCAAAAGGAAGATTCTAAGACTCAAGTTGGCATAAGCTCGATGACGTGGGTGCACTTGAAGTCTTGCATAATTGGGGATTTTGGTCAAATTGCATTACTACTTTTATTAATCTAGAGTCAAGTATGGATTACCACAAATATGGGGTAATCCAATAGTCAAATATTGATTACCTCAATTATGGGGTAATCCAAGAGTCATGAGTTACACTCCTAGAATGCTATAAAAAGGATAGGATGTAAACTTAGTGAGGTCGTGAATGAATAAATAAAAATATCTTACAAAATTTCTTCTGAATTTTCATCCTATAAACTCTTATTTGTTCCAATTGTTCGAGGTAGCTTTATTTGTTTCAACTGTTCAACGTAGCTTGACAGCCGGCGTAAAACTTTGTCATGACTAATATGAACATGAATTTAGCTGACCCCATATATTTGGGAAAAGGCTTGGTGGTTGTTGTTGTTGGTCTTGTTTGCTTTCTGATACCTACCTTCCCTTTGACAAAAACAAAACAAAAACAAAAAAGAAGAAGAAGAAAAGAAAAAAGAAAAGCATGATTGATTAACAAGGTCCTGTAACGAGAAAACAGGCAGTGATAGTGGAATAACAGCTTCATCAGGGAAACGGGATTTGTATTTTGTAGCAAAACTTATTATGGCAGAGATTTGACATCAGTCACATCACTATTCTCGACCTTTTATAGAATACAATTTTTCAAGACATGACCAGCACACATTCTGCCACCAAATCTAAATAGCCATAGTAATTTACAGGACTAGTACAGATTATCAGGTTAACTAGGGTATGGTATATCATCCACCTACTCAGAAGGCAGGCAGAGAGAGAGAGAGAGATAGTAGTTCATCCTCCTACTTCAGAAGGCAGTCACAGAGAGAGAATGAGACAGAAAGACAGACAGAGAGAGAGAATTCCAATTGCAAGCATGAAATAAGCAAAATAAACATAAAATATAAAACTATTCCCATGTGATCAATCAATAAGCATCCCAAAGAGATTATGATGGTGTTTATGATTCACAAAAGAATATACAAGGCACAACAATACAGCATGCAGAATATTTGTATGGTAGGATTGGATGCAATCACATATCACCTCAATAAATTACAAAAAAAAAAAAAAAAAGAAGAAGAACATTACATAGTATTTGGCAATAAAAATGCACTTGTTCTTAATTTTTTGTCTGTAAATCACTTGATCAAAATTTAATAGACATATTTAAGAAATTTTATTACTTAAATGTGATATCAAAAATCTGACGAGATGTATTAAAATGGACACGTGAATCTTATTCCTGGAAAAAATGAGACAAAATCCGATCCAAGCAAATGATAATACGGACACAAACCACCCCGAATATGATGCAAGTAAAGCAATAACTAAGCAGATGAGATAAATGTTTCATAAACTTACCAATCATGGTAAATGCCAATCAACCCACGCTCATATATAACTCCCAGAGTGTCTCTCTCAGCTATTGTTGGCATGACATTCATTACCCACAATTTGGGAGAATCGAGTGCAGCAGCAAAACTTCCTAGACCCGCATTCATATCCATAATATTGCGATACCTCCCAGTGTGAATTATCTTATTGATCCTTTTATAAGATTTCATATGCTTCTTCCACAAGTTGTTATCCTCTTGGAACAACTCAACAGATATTCCAGGAATGGATCCACTAGATATTCTAGGCGGAACAGCATTGAGCCTATCTGGAAATGACGGCAATTCCCCACCAGCAACTTCGTCTGAATTGGTAGTCTCTGGATAAGGAGTTACACATACTTCCATCTTCTTGTACCTATACGCGACCAAAAACCAAGTTGAAATCTGGATATAAACTTGTAGAAGATTGTAGCATTGCATACAGCTTAAAATCATTAAAGTTCTTATCCCAATATTAGATTGAAGTCCTCAAATCATGGACAAATATTAAAATTTCAAGGCTCGTGGCTACCCACATATTTGCTAAGACAACACACTTTATCGAAGGAGAAAAGAAAAAAAAAAAAAAAAAAAAAAGAAGAAGCAATAGAATGATTTCATTTTACAGGCTTCTATATTTTTTGAAGTGCTTACCTTATAAAGTTCACAAAGCTTTCTAGAACAATTTTTTATTACACAAGGCATGCAAAACAGGACCAGAAACTGATGCAAGAATGACATGCAGTATATAGAAACAAAAACAACCTTAAAGATTTTAATCAAACTTTTCCATTGCTACATTCAAAGAATTAATGCATAGCAATTTCAGCATGGCTTATTTTTGTATTAGATGGTGAGCGCATCTTTATTTGGACAAAAAATTCATATGTTCCATCAATTAACATTCAAGTTGATAAGTAATGCGAGTAAGATTTATCAAGTGCAAAGAAGATACCAGACATCATTTGCATTTGTGGAATCACACATAGTAACACGAGAATCTCGCTCATGGCAATATTCCTTATTTGTTCTTTTCCTCCATATAGCAATTTCACCTTTCTCATGCTTCTTTTCCCAGCAGAGAAGTTTAGCAACCTCTTCAATCTTCCTTTGTTCATCCTTAAGTTCTTTTTCAGGACGCTGCCATGATTTATAATTGGTCCTCCAGTTGATGGGAGGACCTGAAAGCACCCAGTAGCCGCCAGGTCTAAGAACTCGATCAACTTCCTTCATGTACATTCCATCTACAAAGACAAGTTTAATGACGTTATTTAAAAATATATATAGTTCCATCACCTAAATTATATTAAAAAGTAATCAGAAGGAAAAATAAAAGAAGGAAAGAGTGATCATTCATCATGATCCTACACTTCATTGTCAGAAAGTAGAATGTCATGGGGTTATATATTAGTTATTATAGATTTATTTTACATTGTTCATTTGCTACATGACTCTTCATCAATTGAGTCTAGAATATTTTAGTATTGTGTTATGTACTTATGTCTATAAGGAGCCCCAAAAATTCCCTTAAAATGAAAGGAACTTTTTGGTATCTATCCATTGATTTTTTATTTTTTTTAAACTTAGGTTGCTGGCTAAGGAGGTGAAAGCTTATATAAGAACTATTTGGTAATTTATATTGGATAAAAGCTCCTCATTCAAGTATAAACTCCTCATCTAAAGGAGTGCAAATGGAGAGTTTTTAATAATATGTGTTCTTATTGTTCCAAAAAGAGTGTGTGTAAGCAAATGGTAAGAAATTAGGCAAGCATCTCTACAACACGACTAGAGAGGCCGTGATTCTTGGCACGTGTAAGGCTGACAATGGGATATAACATCTTGGCGCTGCACGGCTGTGGCTGCAGTTGGAGTGAAAGTGACCTTTTAACTTTTAAATAAACCTAACCAAAGTAACAGGTGACTGCTGGCACGATCTACATGGTGTAAGACAAACGAAGTTCTTAACTAAAGTAATAGGTCAGTGATTGTTGAGATGGAGTAAAGCTAACCTATGTCTTGTCAATTGAGATACAATGTCATGCGTCGAACAGTTGTGGGCACAGTTAGAATGAAGAGTAACTTTTTGAAAAATTACAAACTCGAACGATGAGAATTTGAATCTTGATCGGACTATAGTCACTTAGCAACTATTTATAATCTATTACAACCACAACAAAATCCATCAAGAACTTTTCTCACCATTTGCACCCCATGGAATCAAGCAACGAGAACAGTGAGCCATGTCAAAAGCTCTAGATGGAAATGGCAGCTTTATAGTTCCAAGAACACCAATAACAGCTGGCACACCTCTTTCCAAAGCAAATTGAACTTGTGCTTCATGTGAGTCTCGTGGGGCGAATGACATTGCTATAACATTTTTTTTGAACAGGTATGCACCCCAACTCGCAACCTGAACACGAAATCCCCAAGCAATTGATCAATCAATAATACAAAATAACTAGATAGATGCTGAGTATTTTTTTTTTTTTGATAAGTAATACATAGATGCTGAGTAATAAAAAATATAAATCACATGAAAAATGGAAAATTCAAACTAAATCCTAAAAAGAACAGGTGCACAAATACATGTATACAAGAACTTGGAAAACTAGAGAGCCATATTAATATCAGGATTTCAAATCCCCTAAAAGAAGAAATAACATTGTGTTAATGAACTTTGACTTACCCCACATCCAGTATCTAACGCAGTTCTAACCATTCCATTGGCCATTGGGATCACTGAAGCAAGTTGATCTATATAAGCATCCGCTCCCTGAGGAAACTGTGTTCCACCACCAGGGAACCTAAACACATTGCCTTCATATTGAATCCAATTCTGAATAGCCTTCTCAACAGTCAAGCTCTTATACGGTGCATTTGCATAGGGCACGTAGTCACGACTCTTGGGCCATGGAAATGGGGTCACATATCCTTTAGGTGCTGGAATAAGACAATGCAGCTTCTCTTCCTCTGGAGGACAATGTCTCTCCCTGTAATTCATATTTTCTCGAGGGAATGTCATTGCCCTCATTTGATCTTGACATGGAGTGTAATCGATGTAGCGATCATTGCATGGTTTGAAAATTTTAACTTCTGATTTGGGACCATCAATTGTCCCAACTTCATCACCGTGATGAGTCTCGAAATTAAGATTTCCAATGAGGTTGCAATCCACCTTTTTCGTCATCTCTTGAGCTATACTGTCTCCCTTACCAAAACCACTTCTTTGCCATGCACCCAAAACATAGAAGAAACAACACAACCCAGCAACAATAAAGATAGACACGGAGTTCCTAGTTCTGTTGTCTCCTGGATTACCTTTTGTCTTCATGATTCACCTGCAATGTTTTTATAAAATTAAATTAATAATAAATTAAAATAAAATTGATGTGGAAATATATATTGAATGCTTGATCTAAATAGTTCAAGTGAAAATTAATAAATGCAACATTAAAATTTTAGGTAAGTGCCTGGGACACTTCTCCCTATTGACATTTGCAATGTCGAATACTTGTCTAATTGGCACTAGTGTCCAACAGTTGTTCAAACACTTTTCTAGTCCACCTCTATTTACCCAGATAATGATGATGGTGAGTAACCAAACGACATGTTTATATGACTTTTCATGGTGAATAACAAATAGACACACTTACCGCATAAATGTCCATGATCAAATAATGTTGATTTTAAATTTACAAAGAAACGCAGATAGTGTGTCCCTTCGAGAGACAGTAGAGTAGCAGCCTTTGCTGGTGGTAAAACACAACAGTCAGCGTCCAAAGCGTAGGCCATGGTGCATCTTCTAATGTCTCTGCAATTACTCATTTAAATTGAAACAGAAAGGAACCCTTTTTCTCTCTCCATTTGGTCAGAAAATACAGATGCTCTAACCTAACTATCATAAAGTGTGTGTTTTATGAGGCTTACATATTATTATAAATGTGTGTATGCACCCTTGCCTGTTACATCAGATAATTATGAGCATTCAAAAACTAAAAATGAGGATAAAAGCTTGACTCCTTTATGAGAAGATCATTTATTGGTGGCCATGAAAGGCGACATATGTCCCTCAATATAATAAATTAATTCGCCTTAAAATATAGATCCAACACCACCACCATAATTCTGAACTTTAGTTTCACTCTGCATATACTTTCAAGATCTAAACAACAACTAAATTAACTGGTGAGCTATACAATGAAAAGAACTAGCATCAGATTCCAAAAGTGTGATCCCAAAAATTAACTGGCTCAATTACAGATTCACTCTAAAACGGAAACACAAAGTATAAACCACTTAGAGTCCACGAAAACAAAATTGATATATACACATGTATATGTTGTTTTGCATTGTATCGGACAAATATCAGTGATGAATACATTATAAAAAATAAAAATTAAAAATTAAAAAAAAAGGTCAATGAAATCAGCGATAACGCGAAACAGCATAGAAATTTTGAAAATCTTACGGATCTTGGAAGAGAGATGGCGATTTCCTGGAAAGAATCAAATCAACGACATTTTTGGTTCGCAATATGTATTCACTTCATGCAATGCCAAAATTCATACGGTGAAATGAAATCAGTTGAGAGGAGAGAAGGATGAGATGGTGATCGGAACTGAATTTTCACTAATTCAAAAAAAAAAAAAAGCTTAGGAAGAGTGTGAAAATGAGAAGTTTAGAAAGAGGAAGTATTTCTCTCTCTAGAATGGTGATCTAAAGAAGATAGATATATCCTTCTCTCTTTCTCTTTCTCTTTCTCTTTCTCACTCTTCTTCTTCGTGCTGGGAATCTTACTCAAGAGAGTCCTTAAGACATGGAGATCTCTGCTTTAGTCTATCTCTATCGTCCTCGTATAATTACAAAAAACAATAATGATAATCTGCTACTTCGATGTGAATAATAAGGTTAATGCTCTACCCAATCATAAGTTGACACTTCAACTTATGAAAAGAACTGCTTTGTGTGACTGTACAATTGCGAGATTTTATATTCCTTTATATTAATTATAAATAAATAAAGAAATTAATTTGCAAAACGATAAAGTCAGTAACTCGTACACGTGATAATCAATATTTTGTTTATACGTGTGACCTTTGGATACTATAAAAAGCTAACATAAAATGTGCCACTTGGAATTGAATTGTCATTGTGTTGGTATTTTTGATAGTAAAATGTTTATTGTGTGTATCATACATTCATACCATGTATGACTCAACCTTAAATTTTAAATTTATTATATGATAAGATATATAATGCACATTTTCATTAACTATGATTTGATGTATACACTTCTGCAAATACGTATTTGATACATGGAAAAATAATAAGTTTTTTTATAAAAAAATAAAATAAAATAAAAGTGTATTGCCAAGCATTTAATATAAATTTTTTTAAATGATGTGAATTTTAACTTATATTCTTAATGCATCTAATTTCATCAATGTCCCAAGTCAATCTATCTTTATTTTTGTTAATTTATATATTTTTTTATTTTTGTTAATTTATAAATATTTTTTTCACATTCTTTTGGATAATACTCGTTGCATTACTTAAAATATTTTGTATATATTTTGAAATCATTTTTTTTTTTTTTTGAACAATTTATTGTACCTCCTAACTCTACCATCATATTTTCTCAAGGTTGTTTAGTTAGGTGAAAATTATAACATAAAGTAAAGTGAAATAAAGAAAAATTAGGTTTGCATATGGTACATTTGGTTAATGGAAAATGATTTCAAGAATGTTATAGGAAAATATTATTTTATTAGTTTGGATAGTATGAAAGTAAAAAGAAAGTGATTATACTTACTCTATGTCCAATAAGAGTTTTAAAAAAAAATTAATATTATGCAATGAATGATGAAAAAATATATATATAATAAGGCAACCAACTTTTAAAGGTTGGATCGTAACTAGAATAGAGAAATTCATCTAAAAAATATTATTATATTATATTTTTATTATTATTAATCACGTTCGAAAATATGGATGAGACGTGACTAAAGAATAGAGATTTACCTAGATATCATTATTATGTTATTCTTTTTATTATTAATTATATTTTAAAATATTTTCATGTGAAAAGAGCCTCTTTTTAAAACATTTTTTTTTAAAATTTTATTCAAACTCCAAAAAAATTAAAAATTTTATCTTCCTTTCTATTTTAATTAATACAATCTAATTCTAAGTCACATAAAGCGGGAGCAAGAGGAACAGCGAATTCGAATGATATAATTAAATCATAAATAATGAGAATTTAAAATAGAACACATGTGAAGTGTAAGAGTGAGAGCGAGAGCGATACTCTTGAGATGAATTGTATGACTTTTAACCAAACCAGTCATTGAAAAAAAAAAAAAAAAAAAAAAAACGAACGAGCCGATAGGAACTTGGGACTTTTAATCAAATTTTGTAAATATGATACGCGTTTTGGCCCTTTTACAAATCATTTGTTTTGGCTACTTGAGCTAACCGTATAGATCTCATCGGAGAGGAGCCAAACATTTTCTCTACGGTCCTTCCACTAAAACCCTAGTTACTTCAACCAAACCGCTTCAACTACCACACTCGGCAAATCCGGCGAAAACGCACAATTTCAGATCCTTGTCCCAATGGGAACACTTCAGGTACATGAATTCATATCCATGCGTTTACCAGATTTCCATGAAGGGTTTGAGATTACTGATTAGGTCTCTAATTTGGGCATTTTCTTTTATTCATCTGAAACACAGTATATAAGTGAAGTTATAAAAACTGCATTTGAGTGATTCTTTCTTTGTGGTTTCTCTTCTGTAGGTCTATGATTTTGAGGTTATTGCAAGTGAAGCTTGAAGCAATTTCAATTGGGCTAATGGGTTTTAATCACATTCTTTATTAGGTTAGGGTTTTGGAATGAGTCCAACTTTACTTCCTAAACATGTAGCCGCGGTGGTTAAATACCAGAAAGACCCTCTCAGGGCACTGGAAATGTTTAATTCAGTGAAAAATGAAGATGGGTTCAAGCATAATTTTTTAACATATAAATGCATGATTGAAAAGCTTGGTTATCATGGATTGTTTGAGGCGATGGAGCGCATGATTGCAGACATGAGAACGAATGTCGGCAGTAATTTGTTGGAAGGAGTGTATATTGGAGCCATGAGAAATTATGGTAAGAAAGGGAAGGTTCAAGAAGCTGTCAATGTGTTTGAGAGGATGGACTTCTATGATTGCGAGCCTTCGGTGCAATCTTATAATGCAATCATGAATATATTGGTTGAATATCAATACTTTAATCAAGCCCACAAAGTGTATATGAGGATGAGAGATAAAGGGATTGTGCCTGATGTATATACATTCACAATTAGGATAAAATCCTTTTGTAGGACGAAAAGGCCTCATGCTGCTTTAAGGCTTCTTAAAAACATGCCTTCCCATGGGTGTGAACTCAATGCAGTTGCTTACTGTACAGTGGTTGGTGGATTCTATGAAGAAAATTTGCGAACTGAGGCATGTGAGTTGTTTGATGAGATGCTTAGAATGCAAATTTGTCCAAATATAGCCACATTTAATAAGCTTATACATACACTTAGTAAGAAGGGGGATACCCAAGAAAGTGAAAGGCTTCTCAGCAAGGTTCTCAAGAGGGGAGTCTATCCGAACTTGTTTACTTTCAATATCTTTATTCAAGGCCTTTGCAGGAAAGGGATGCTTAATGAGGCTGCCACTATGTTGGATGGTGCAAGGAGCGAAGGTTTTACTCCTGATGTTGTCACATACAACACACTTATATGTGGCTTGTGTAAGAACCTTAAGGTTGAGGAAGCTGAGTGCTATTTGCGAAAAATGGTGAATGAGGGGTATGAGCCTGATGCTTTCACCTATAATACAATTATTGACGGGTACTGTAAGCTAGGTTTGGTGCAAAATGCAGAAAAGATTAGGAATAATGCAATTTTTAAGGGGTTTGTGCCAGATGAATTTACATGCTGCTCTTTAATTAATGGTTTATGCCGGGATGGTGATATAGACAGGGCCCTGGGTATATTTAGTGAGGCACTGAAAAAGGGATTAAAGCCGAATGTTATCATCTACAACACATTAATTAGAGGGTTATCACAGCAGGGTCTTATTTTGCAAGCCTTGCAGCTGATGAATGAGATGTCAGAAAATGGTTGTTTCCCTAATATATGGACTTACAACTTAGTTATAAATGGATTGTGCAAGATGGGTTGCGTGTCTGATGCCAATAACCTTATGAATGATGCTACTGCCAAAGGGTTCCTTCCTGACATTTTCACTTTCAACACATTGATTGATGGCTACTGTAAACAGTTGAAGATGGGCAATGCAATTGAGATAGTAAATAGAATGTGGGATCATGGTGTAACTCCTGATGTGATCACATATAACTCGGTGTTGAATGGCCTTTGCAAAACTGCAAAAGCTGATGATGTGGTGGAAACTTTCAAAGCAATGGTGGAGAATGGTTGTGCTCCTAACATTATCACATATAGTATACTCATAGAAAGCTTGTGCAAAGCTCGAAAATTAGTGGAAGCTTTAAACTTGCTTGAGGAAATGGAGAACAAGGGTCTGACTCCAGATGTTGTCAGTTTTGGCACACTGATCAATGGATTTTCTGAGAATGGGGATTTAGATGGCGCCTACCAGTTGTTCAGAAAAATGGAACGACAAAATAAATTTTCTCATACAACAGCAACTTACAACATAATGGTAAGTGCATTTTGTGAGAAGCTAAATATAGAAATGGCAACAAAGCTATTTCATGAGATGGATGAGAATGGCTGCCCCCCAGATACCTACACTTACCGTGTCATGATTGATGGCTTCTGCAAAACAGATAATGTTGATTCTGGGTACAATTTTCTCCTCAAGATGATCGAGAAAGGGTTCATTCCATCATTGACAACGTTTGGACGGGTGATAAATTGTCTGTGTGTAAAGCATAGAGTACATGAGGCAGTTGGTATAGTCCGACTTATGGTGCGCAATGGTATTGTTCCTGATATTGTGGAGACAATTTTTGAGGCTGACAAAAGGGAGGTAGCAGCACCTAAGATTGTTGTGGAAGACTTGTTGAAGAAGAGTCATATAACTTACTATGCATATGAACTTTTATATGACGGCATTAGAGGTAAGAAATTAGAAAAGAAAAGGTTACAACGAAAGTGATCTCATGATTCTAGAGAAAGGTCTTTCCGAATTGATAGATGGGTTTCTCAATTGCAAGGGGAGTATTGCAAAGCTGTCGGATATCAAGCTCTACCGGCATTTGTAAAAAGTTATTGCAGAATGCATGGTAGTCTTATGCCACACTTAAATCTTTTTACTTGTTAATTTAAGGTTTTTGATATAATACTCCTAAAAGGTAATATATCTCTTGGATGTTTCAGGGGTAAAAGCACTCAATAACAAGATGCAAACAGCAGAGTGGCTACTGTTGCTGAGTGGCAAGCTAATAGGTACCATCTTATGAAATTCAATAACACATGTTAAAACTAGATGTTGCAGGTCTTATTTGAATTACCAGTATCCAAGAAATTGATTGTCATGTGCCCCATATCAGCAAGGAGGAAGATTTGCTAGCATTTTCACTTAAAAGATGAATCTTGCGTATTTAGTTGTCCTTGCCATTGAATGAACTGACTGTTACTAACTATATCTAACATTTCCAGCTTACTAGACTACCCAGTTTTATTTAGCTTTTCTTATCATTATACGACTTGACTGCTTCAAATGGTTTTACACAGGTTAATTCTCTTACAATCACATAATTGTTGCAGGCATATTTTCACAGCTTTCAAACTCCATCTTGCCCTCTATAAAAGCTGGGGTAAAAGTTTCTATGCATTATTATCTCAATGCAGAAGAAAATGAAATAAGCTGGGTTCAAGTCCTGGTTTTGTATGGATGTGTTATACATTGAATACCAAGGTAACTCTTATCAATGAAAGTAAGAGTTTGCGTTGATTTATCTTCCTTTTTTCCCTTGAAGTTTCTTTTAACAAAATAAATTTGATTCGAATTTATTTATAAATAAAAAAATAAAAATAATAAAAATAAAAATAATATATATATATAGTAGAAAAGAATTATATAAATATGGTTACTCTGTTGTTTCTGGTTTTCAAGTATCAGATGTTTAAGTGATCCCGCACTACTGACTGTCATTAATTTCAGGTAGGCCCCAAATCCCAATAGAATGCCACGCGACTGTTGCCACGTGCTATATAATTGTGCTTAAGATATCATTCAGCTTTGAATTGGTTACTATAGAAGTACTGTGTTCCAAGTCCTCCACCTTGACTTTACACACTCAGTTTTCAATGTGGAGGACTTGTTTCCTTATCGAGACACGTTGCCTCCTAATTTTCTTCTACTTCTTCGTTTTTTTTTTTTTTCCCCCCTTTGGGCAATGATATACTGAAATATGGTACCAATTGTTTTTTTATAATTGATGCAAAAAATGTAGTAGTGAACCCAATCAAGTAAGCAGACCCCACTTTGAGTCTCAACTTTTGAAAAATGGAGTGCCACGTCAGCAATTGTTCTGACACGGCTATCCACCTTAATCGGATACTCATAATCCATGGTGTGGGCATCTCAATGATATCATATCTTCCATTATTATCTCCTCTGGGCCCGCCATTTTGGACCCATATTATCCACTCCGTTCTCTACATTTGGAGAGCGGAGTGGAGCAATTGGTGTGGGCCCCACAAAGTGGAGATGCCCACACGGATTACTTGGGAGTCACTTGGGCTCTCCACTTGGAGAGATATTATCCAAAATAGTATGCACACCAGATACCCTAACGAAGGAGTTCCTTGACGTGGCTTTGGATTGTAGCAGTGTCATATTTTCTTCATTAGATTCATTACTCTAATTGTATTTTGTCAGGATAATATTCTGTAAGCAAGTGAAGAGAAAGTGCAAGCGAAAGTCAAGGTGGTTGATGCTGCAATTGTAATCTGAAGTGGATCACCTTCATTTTAAGATATTTCTGCCCGTAGTTACATGGTTCTCAATTAGAAGAATGAAGCAAATGAAGCTGCATGTAAAAGCCTGTTTGGAGGTGTCGGTGAATCACTCGTATTACTTACTAGAATATCTAATGAGAAATTCAGTCCAGGAGAAAGATATGGCAAAAAAGTGACATTCCGGCAATAGTGTTATGCATTGCCCAACTACCGGCCATTGGAGTGCTGTGAAACGGGGTTGAGGTAAATCCCACCCTACTCAGGTCTTAATTCATATTCAAATTGATTGTTATTGCAGTTTGAGGGCAAAGAATATGAGGACTCCCAAAAGAATATGTTGTAAAACTGATGGTTCAGAATTGTTGGAGGAATGAGAGCAAATGAACTTCACAGAATGTTTCTTGTTTAGAAGTATATGGCTGTGTCATGGAATTGCAACTAAATGGGACTTCCAAGTTTGCAAGTTATGCTGCCGGATTATATAGTTATCATTAGTAATTTAACATTTTTTATTGAGCAGGTAAAATATATATATATAAAAATAATAATAATAATTTATCGAACAGATTTTGACCTTTTTATTTATTATTTATTTTTTTAAGCTTAGTCCAAAAGGATTGCACTTTTACTCTGGGCTGTGTAATTTGACAGTAATCAAAGAAATGGGAATGCATAAATTTATGTCAGAGTTAATGTGCATTACCGTGATACCTTATAATGTGAAGGGCTTTTCGGATCATAAAGGAAGTTGAACTTGTATTTGAAGTGATAAATCATTTGAAATTTTGATATAATAAAAATAAATAAATACACAAACATAACTGATATAGAATTGTAATCCAAAAAGGAACAACGCCAGAGAGCCTAATGAAGTGCCCATCGTATATATAGTAAGGAAAACCTCTGAATATTGGACTATAATTTAGCACGATCCATTAGAAATTAGAATATGGCAACCTATGAATTTTGAAAAAAAAAAAGAAAAAATAAAAATAAAAATTCCCCCAGAGTAAATAGATGATCAACTAGTTCTCCATTCTTCGTACAATCATGACGAATCACTGCCAAAGGAAAACCATGTTCCTGCAGCTTGTGGACAATCACGACGAATCACTGCCAAAGGAAAACCATGTTCCTGCAGCTTGTGGATGTTCCAACAAAGTGAACACCAAGGGATAGTGTTAAACTAACATTCCAAGCTACTTTGAAACAAAATCTCTCAACTGTACAAAGTTAGATGTCTTCCCAAATAGTAACCACTGCCAAATGCATATTGTCAGGAATATTCGGTTCACCGCTGTGAGAACTCACGTTTGAATTGCATGTTAAGAACGACAAGATGACCATATTTTTTAGTTCCATGGATCCATAAACAATATCCCCAATCTGAAACAAAATATTCTCCACCATGTTGTTTCCTACTCCAACATATATTTCCAAGATCAACAATGGAGCCTGCAAATGAAAAATCTCCCAAGTAGATTTCCAATTATTTCTTCTTAAACCATGCTTCCCAAATGCGATCCTTAACCTGTAAGAAAACCCCAAACCAGAATACACTTTGAAGCATTGTCAATATCATCCAGCTTCCTAATCCTGAAACCACCCTTCAGATTTGAGACAAGTAACCGGAACCCGAAGCAGATAAAGTTTCTTGAGATTTTTTTTAACACCACATAAAAATTTTCTGATCTTTTCATACAAAAAAGTCTGTCTTACTCTCTAATGGGAAGTTCAAAAACTGAGGTCCAAAATTATAAAATGAAGTTGAGACTGTTTTAATCACTTTGACACTTCCCGTTATTGAAAGATTAAGCCCATTCCAGTGAGAGATTCTCGATGCAACTTTGCCAATAAGGGTTGCTATTTTCAGTTCTCAAAGCCCCCAACAAAAGTTTACCTCCACAATATTATGCACTAAATTTCACATAGATCCAATTCCTTGTCATTATGGGATCTGCGTAAATAATTAAATTTCAACTTAAATTTCCTACTTATTCCTGTACAAGTTCCTATTCTCAAGATCCAAACTCTTAACAGCAATAACAACCAAATCCTGCAAAAAGTAGATAGAATTAGTATTCTATTCATAACAATCTCTCTCTCTTCCTTCTTAAATAAAACATGATCCCATCAAATGCAAACCCCACTCAAAGGAAAATAGTTGGTAAATAGAGTATTGTTTTATATACAGCTATCTAAGGCCTGTTTGATATCTTTCATTCTTTAGATGCCTGAAAATGAAAATGATGAAAAGTTTGAAAATTGCCATCTTGGGTCATTTATGTTGGTACTTGATATTTTGAAAATGCAGAAAATATCTTTTAGTCTTCCCAGAAAATCGGCCATTCTCATAAAATCTTCTAAAAAACATGTCTCGAGAACACTCTGCCAGACATTTTCTGTGTCATTTTTTACGTTTTGGGGGAGCATAAAATAATTTTCAAATATGGTTCCTAACAGGCTAGCAATTTCCAAATTCAAAAGAGAAAAACACCTATTCTTATTGCCATGCAAATATAAAAGACAACCCATTATAGCAAGGAAAAACAGCAACTGCCCTGCTATTTCTTACTGAATATGTATGTTGCTGCTATTTCTTATATATATCATTTTTCAACTTATTTTATGACCAAATGAAGACTTCAGAAAACAATCACTAATTAACCGACACTTGAGAAGAGAATACGGGCTTGCAAGAGATTTTGCATAAAATGAAAAATCAATTCACCTTCTGGGATTTCTAACCAGTAAACATTAAAACAAAATAAGATAAGGAATTTAAGAAGCAGTGTTTATAACTCTAAAACAAATAATTTGTTGACCAGTAGACTTCATAATGAAGATCTCTCTGACTCCACATCTCTAATTGAGGAATGGTGGAGTAAAGAAAATTTCAAACACACACTACGTTCGGAAAAAGAAAAAAACAAAAATCTTACAAAATTTTCTGTCCTTCTAATAAATTGTAATTCTCCAAATCCAACCTTTCTAAATCAAATAAAGTGAACCGAAAACAGGTTGAAGTACTGCAAAAATTTCCAAAGGTATTTCAGTTGAACATACAACTAAAAGGATGAAATCAAATTGTATAGAAGACATATACTTATTTCTTACTTTTGTAGTGGTTATTATATTTTGAAGCACAAATACCGACACAGACGTATCACGGACATAATTATACAGCAATCTCAAAAAAAAGAAAAAAAGAAAAGAAAAGGGAAATGGACATGGCAGGGATATAAAATAAAATGATATTATTATATATAAATATGTACACAAAATTTTGATTTTTTATCATTTTACCCACGTTATCAAGAAATACAATCACAAATTTGGAGCATAGAGCTGGAAATGCATGTCTTTTTTTCTAAAACTTTATACCATTTTTCTATTAACCCATAATATATTTTAAAATTGCAAAACTACCCTGTTGTGTCCCAAAAGTGTCTAAACGTGTCCCCGCTATGTCCATGCCGTATCAACCAGGGAAAGAAATTCCTGTTATGTCCATGGCGTGTTCTAGCTGTATCAACCAGAAAAAAAAAAAAAAAAAAAAAAAAAAAAAAAAAAAAAAAAAAAAAAAAAAAAAAATTATTCAAACTCCAGGACACTCTTAGCCATGTCGCCTACTACTCTAAATCAACCACTCTTCTTTGTACAAAGTCAAAATGAATGAAAGAGTATAACTGTATAAGGACTTACATGTTTGCAAATTAGGCAGGTTTCCATGAGCTTGGAAGCTGTTGAATGTCACCTATCATGTCCTTTTTGCAACATGAATCTTGATTCTTCCCTCAAGTAGTTGTAACCCGTGGGGAATATTTACCATTCAGTTTGCCTTCAGATCAGCCTCACTTACCTTGGGATCTCACCCTACTGTAGGGAAACATTGACAAGTAATTCTGCAAATGAGTGGTTACACTCGATCAAATTGATATGCAGTCAAAGGATGCTTCTGAGTTTGAACAAGGAGGCTGGACAGCAAATCAAAAAATAAATCCATGTACAGTGTAGTTTTGGTAACCTCTACCTCAACATTGTTTTACCATAAGTGGATGTTGTTCAGCCATAAATTATCTAAAATTGAACAATTGGTAAGGGTGCATAATGAGGGTTCAAAGAAAGGAGTAAAGTACTCATGAGGTTACCAACATATTTAAATCATGTTGATCATCATATAGTCTATTATTCAAATTTAAGTTATGTTGTTGTGGGTACTCTCCAGATACATGTAGGTGCATTTCAAGTATTACAGCACAGTTTTACGGCAATTATTTCAACAATGGTTTGGCTTCAGTAGATACTTCACTGCTTTACACCCCAAACCTTTAAGATTGAAACCAATGAGGGGTTAGGAAAGGACTAAAAAAACTGTACATGAGGTCATCAACATAATTCATGGCACAGCATATGAAGCTAACCACAAAATAATCTATCATCCAAATTTCGACCCATGTAATTTTTGCTGGCTTTTTTATGTGTCAGGGGACTTGTTTTTATTAAAATCTTACTCAAATACAGAATCAAAAAGAAACCCTAGCTATCAACATTTACCAGAAAGGCAGGGCCCCATCTCATACAGAAGAACTCCATCCTGGTTCCTTCTTCGTCCCAGTTCCTTCCATCACACTTCTGATATTAATTACCTCTTCCCACTGGCCCACATCAGCATAGATGTTTGACAAGGAGACATATGCCCCAGAATCACATGGCTTCAACTCAATAACCTTTTTGGCAGCTAGCCTCCCAAGCTCAATATCCCCATGCACTTTGCAAGCAGCAAGAAGAGTTCCCCATACCAAAGGGTCAGGTTTGATAGGCATGCTGTTAATAAACCTTTCAGCCTCTTTCAGTCTTCCTGACCGGCCAAGAAGATCTACCATACATGCATAGTGTCTGTAACCAGGCTCAATACCGTGGTCTTTGACCATTGAATTCAGATGAAAATAGCCTTCTTCAACCAGACCACTATGGCTACAAGCAGATAGAACGCCAACAAAAGTCACTGAATCAGGTTTGATTCCTGATTCCTTCATAAGTTCATAGATTCTTAGAGCCTCTACACCTTTTCCATGTTGAGCACAACTTGCGATCATAGAGGTCCAACTGATCAGATCGGGTTTCCAGATTTGTTCAAATGCTTTATGGCATTCGTCAATGCTTCCACATTTTGAGTACATCATAACCAGTGAACTGCCCACAGAAACTTCTGAGTCTAAACCCACTTTCATGCTGTGTGCATGCAATTGATTACCAATGACAAACCTATTTAGTTGCGCAACAGCCCCGAGAATAGATGAAAGGTAAAAGGAGATGATCTCCAAATCAGCCGTTTGCATTTCAAAGAATAGTAGAAGTGCCTGTTCAAGGCACCCACTTCGGGCGTATCCTGAAATCAAGGAAGAGAATGAAACCTGATCTTTTAGGGGCATCATGTCAAACACCCTCCTTGCCAAATCTAAGGCACCACATTTTGAATACATATTCACTAGAGCACCACCAGCAAGTATCTGGCTGCCAACTCCTCCACGAAGAGCATACCCATGAATTTCCTTACCAGTCTTCAGGAAATGAAGGGCAGAACATGCAGTTAGAACAGCTGTTAAGGTCATTTCATCAGGCCTAGTTTTGACGAACAACATCTCTCTAAACAACTGAATGGCTCGATCTGCACAACCATGCTCTGCAAAACCAGCAATCATTGAAGCCCATGAAACAACATCTTTCTCTGTTATTTGATCAAAAACTTCATACGAATCCTCTAAACTACCACACTTTGAGTACATTGTGAAAAGAGAGCAGCCCACAGAAACATCAAAGACTAACCCAGCTTTAATAGTGTAGCAGTGGATCTGTGTCCCCAAATTTAAGCAGTCAACAATACTTAAGACACTAGAGCTACAAAACTTATCAGGTCTCAGACCCTCCTGAAAAATTCTCAGAAACAAATTGATTGCCCTTTCAGGATTCTCATTCTGGACAAGAGTTGATACCATAACAGCCCACGTACCTAGGTGCTTTGAATCTTCTGACTCTCTAAACACCATCTCAGATAAATCAATCGCTCCTATCTTCGAGTACATATTGATCAAAGAAGCCTTTACAGCTGAATCACAGTAGAAGCCACTTTTAAAAATCAAACAATGGATTTGGATTGCCTCTTTAAACATAACTGGGTTAGCACAAGCAGTAAGCACACTAGTCACGGTGTAGTTATTTATATCCTTCCTCGTCTTTATGAATTCTTTGAAAAATTGAAGAGCAGAAATATAATCGTCCTCCCTAACAAAACCAGAAATGATAGCAGTCCAAGAAACTACATTGCGGATCGGCATCCTCGAAAATTTCTTAACGGCCTCACCCATATTCCCACATTTGGCATATAGATCAATAATAGCAGTCCCTACAAAAACATCTTCTTCCTCACCACACTTAATGACCCACCCTTGAACCCCTCTACCCAGCTCGAGCTCTTCAAGTGCAGCACAAGCAGTCAAAATGCTAGAAAATGTAAAACTGTTTGGCATTAAATACCCATGACACATCTGCGAAAAAAGATCCAAAGCAACCCAGTTCTCCTTCTCATTCACAGCCCCAGATATTATAGCATTCCAACAAACCACATTGTTGCATGACACATCATAAAACACCCTCAATGCATCCTCAAAGCTGCAATACTTCGAAAACAAATCAATCATTCCAGCCCGGACATAACCATTTGAAAAGAACCCATTTTTCAGTGCAAGTGAATAAACCTGCTTTCCCCATAACGGAGATTGCATGGCTTTACAAGCCGAAAGAACACTCCCATAGGTGAACTGATTCGGATCAAAACCCAAAAAACGCATCCTACAAAAAGTTCTCCACGTATCCTCAAATAATATATTCTGATTGTAACCCGAAATCATGAGATTCCAAGAAACGGTATCTGGCTTAGGAATTTGCTCAAACAATCTGAGTGCATCAGCCATGGCATTAGATTTACAGTAACAGTCCACTAAAGAATTTGCGACGTAGATATAGGAGTTGAAGTTAGTGGTTTTGAGGAAGTGGGCATGTATGACTTTGGTGTCATTGATTGTCCACTTCCTTGATTTGGTCCAGTCATTGAAGAAGTGAAAAGGGTTGAGAAGAGAGACGTTGTGTTCATGCTTGTCATGAAAAAATGATGGGTTTTCAACAACGGCGATGGTGGATACGAAATTGCGTCGAAAAACAGAGGTTTTGGGTTGGAAATTTTGGTGGATCAGAAAATTCATTTGTGTTTAAAAGAAGAGAGAGAGAGCATTGTAGAAATTGGTTTTCAATTGCCCCGGGACTAAATGCAACGGTATTTAGTGGAAGGACGGAGAGTGAAAGGCATTGCCACATCTGACTCTTCCAAAATATTTAAGTTACGTGGCATATTTTTATTGGTTTGTTGAACTTAGTCAATGGTATTTAGTTCTATTCTTATTTATTATTAACGTTAACAAAACAAAGGCTCAATAACGTCAAGATGGCCGAGTTGGTCTAAGGCGCCAGTTTCAGGTACTGGTCCGAAAGGGCATGGGTTCGAATCCCATTCTTGACAAAAAAAAAAAAAAAATCTCTTTTCCCGATTTTGAGACTGACAAATTTTTTTTTTTTCCCTCTTTCTGATTTTGAGACAAATTCCATCGAGAAGATGGAATTAATAACATACAAACTTATAAAACATGAATCCTTATAAAAAAAAATTTATAAATGCATAAAAATAAGTTTTTGAATTTATTGTTTTGATTTTACAAAATATTTTATCTTATTATTGTTGCCACTATATGAATTCTTCCCCACCACTAGTTGTATTCTCGACCACCAAGAAATTAGGTTCACAATGCGGTCAATGCATCTACCCTTTCTTGTGTTAAAAATTATGAATAAACTCCAACTCATGTCAACTCTTTTTCATTGCAAAGACAATAAAATTCATCCTGTCCTTGCATTATTATTATTATTATTATTATAACTCGTATTATTTTATTTCTCTTTCTTTTCTTTTTTTTTCTTTTTTTTTCTTTAAATCACTGAACTACTAAAGTCAACTTTGAACTAAAAAATATGCAACAACTTTGGCCTAAAATATATAATTATAATATACATATTAGTCCAAAGTTGTATATATGACTATGGACTTTAGTGTTTCAAAAAAAACAGGAAGAGACTTGGTAAAAAAAACTGTATTTAAAGTTTTCAAACCATGAACTCAAGATCCAGGCAACATCTGTGAGAGAGAATAGTGAGAAACGGGCGAGGAAAACAAAGTAATTCTGCATGGACTGTGGGGTAGCACATACTCTAAGAGGGTGGAACTGGCTCTGCGAATCAAAGGTATACCCTACGAGTATGTGGAGGAAGACATGAGAGATTTGAGCAATAAGAGCCCATCGCTGCTCACGTACAACCCAGTTCACAAGAAGAATCATTCATCATCCCCAAATACATAGACGAAACCTGGAAGAATGAACCTCGACTTCTTCCAGATGATCCCTACGAAAGAGCCAAAGTCCGATTATGGGCTACTTATCTCCAACAGTTTAGAATGCTTATTCATGCTCCATGCTTGATCGTTTATAAAAATCATTGTGAAACATTCATGCTGCAAGCATAAACAGTCCATTTGTAAACATACCATCAATTTTTATTTTTACAACCACAGAGGGAAGAAAACAAAACTAGGACAACAGTTCTTCTCAACAGAAAGGGATACCTCTGCTTGCCTATCCATAGAGGAACGAAAAGCCAAATTTCCTTAAAACTCTACCTTCCCAGTTCAATGACCCACACTAAACTCCATTAGACTCTTACATTTTGCAGTTCCATGTAGCAACCGACGAGAAATAGGGTTTCCTGCCTGCCTATGCTTCCACAATTTGTCATAAACCACCTTGAACTGCAGAACTACACACCCATCAACTGCTCATTGTGGTCTCCATCAAGCAACCAAAAACCACAATACACGCGCACAAAGAGCCCCTACAGCAGTTGACTGGATGCTGCAAATCCAAGACTGCCAAGAGCACCTACTGCAGTCAATGGGTGAAGCAAACCTAAGGCTCCCAGCTAGGTAGATGTGCATACAGACACCTTCAAAAAATTCAGGCTAACAACTACTTTTCAAATAGCTTGTGGTCGGAAGCTCTAAAACACTCTTGGCTCCGAACAAAGTCAGTCTCCAGAAGGGCAGTTACAGCACAACCCTATCAAAACCTTAGTTACAAGAACCACATGTCAATTCAACAATGACAAATAATCAACTTCACTAAGCCAGCTATTTATAGTAGGACTACAAATAGGCAAGCTATTTGTGAACAAGTCGAGCTCAACTCATTAATTATGTACAAAAGGAAAAGAAAAAAAACATTAATAATAATAATAATATACCGCAAGTCTGATTCACAAACCCGGTTAAGTTCAAGATCAATATTCTAAGCTTGTCATGAGCATAAGTAGAATCTAGTTGAGCATGCTGGTCACCAAGCTCGAATAGTCCGGAGCTTGACTCGGCTTGGATGATTTGCAGCCGTAACTTTTATCATCATGCATGGCCATAAATCGACGGTCAACCTCAGAAATGGTGCCTAACTACCACATGAAACTAAACTCTAAGCCAATTATTTTCAAAGATCTCACTATCCTAAACAATGGAGATTACGTGCTAGAAGCATTCAGCATCAACATCAACACCAAGTTGAGTAGCTGGCCCCAAGAAAGTTAGAAAAAATGACTTGAGTTAAATTGAATAAATAACATGAACTCTGAAGAATACCTAATTGAAACTTCATCTGCATACACAAGACCTGCTAAAATAAATAGGCTTAACATTTCATCCCGTAGTACCCATACCATCCTCAGTATCAGAATAGCCACATTACTAACATACCCAGCTGAGAGTGCAACAGAGCTAACACTCCATCCCAAACGACCCAAATCATCCTCAGCTATTGGAACAGCCAATCTAACTAAGCCATTACAGCTAGTCCAAGCATTTGCTCCAAGCCATAATTTCCACCCATTGCCCAACTGCATCTCAACTCCATACATGAATCTCAATTTTCTAAATGCTTGTCAAGTAACATCTATACAAGCACCCACAATCAGGAAAGTTATACTGAACGTATCTTTAACTCTGGTGGATCTGCACCAAGTCTAGCATAAAGCAAAGCTGCAGTCTCCTAAAATAATCCTATTTGAGAGGGGATGACATGAACTGAAAAAAAAAATAGTAGACAGAAGTTGAAATAGTATGAACTTTTGTTCTTGTAATATAAAGTAGCACAATTGTTTCATGTTTCTGAAGAATTATATCTTAGGGTTAAAAATTAACCACCATATCGTGGAATAACAAACAAAATTTCCTGAATATAGGGTTCAGCAGATCCAGTGCAATAAAGTTATAATCCTCCAACTGAAACACTATGCTTAGTGTACACAGGAAAGGAGAAAAAAAGAAAAGAAAAGAGAGAAAGAGAGATATTAATCAAAAACAGTATATGCCAAATAAACAAATGGTACTACATGGAAACTTTCATCCCAAGACAGATTCCATTTCAATCCAAATCCTATTGGCAAAAATTGTAAATTGCAATACTGAGCTAATATTTGAATACTG